TTGTAAATGTTTTCTTCAAATGCAATAGATACAGTTTTAAAGTATATTCCCCTATAACGAGGACAGACACTGTTATTTATTGTTCATTCGTTAAGACATTGAAAACCAGAGCTAAGTCTCGGTTCTTTTCGTATGCCTCCCCTCATGTACACAGCATTGCCATGTATGACAGTGAGTCTACATTGCTAGACACCCGCTCCTACGCTCCGTATTCAGGCATTGTGGAGACCAGAGTGGAGAGCCCAAGGTCGGACCCTGGGTCTTCAAATAAGCAGACACTTTTCTTTAATTTGTAAATATTTTGGGATCAGCTATTTACCCCTCTTCCGTAGGGTCAACACCACCTTTAGAAATGCCAATCCCCCCCCCCCTCTTTGAACAATCCCTTGCTATTAATACAAGCGAGGGAGACTTCGAATCACTTGTTTACAAATAAACGCATAATCGTTAACCCTCCCCCCCACCCCCAGCAATGTGAGGGACGTTAAACAGCTGAATTATAAACTATCGTTCCGAAAACTGTTCAATCCACTCCGTTCCCTGTTGGCACTAACACACCTACCGCGGGAGCCCCTGTTAGCAAATCGCACGAGGTTGCACAAAATAAATAACTCAAGTGTTGGAGACTGTTTTTATTACTTTGACTTTTACACTTTCCCCCCTGGACTTGTGCCCCTTACAATGTATCTTATATTAAATCGTTTAAATACCGAGTAACGTGTACAATGAAAGTAACAAGAGATCGCTTGTTAGAAGTGTTACATTATCTTTTCAGTTGTTGTGCTCCGTGGTCAAATTAAAGATGTTTTTTGCCGAACTGTTTTTCTGCCGGAGAAAATAATTACAAAATCAAAATTAACTGAAAACCATTCATTCAGTTCAGCACCACCAACCCCCCCCCCCCAGCAGTTAGCAGGTGTACAGATTTCTCTAAAAAGTAGCAGATCCACTCTATTGAATGTCTATATTCATTTAAAATAAAGCGCTTGTGTAGATATTTGCAAATTATTCCTCTGTTGATTACACACAGACGCGGCTCTTGGTAAAACAACTGAACATCGGGGAAATGTTTGAAAAATTCAAACCTATCGAATATCCCAGTGAAACAGCGCTGGAAAGCTTTTTACAAACGAAATCTACAAAAGATTCCAATAACTGCCCCGCGATGCCGATTGATTCGTGTGTTCAACCAAAGCAACCGCGTTTTCATTCTGCCGATGTCTTTTTTTTTTAATCTGCAACGTTTAACAAAATAAAATGTAAACCGAATGAAACGGTTCTAGGGTTACCCAGGTATTTCTGCACGGAAAAGTGGTAAATTTCTCTGCAGCTTCCAATGTTTGGTGTCAGAACACCCCCGCCCCAAAGTGTCCGATTTTAAATACGGTTTAAAACAACCTGTCCCCAGGGCTGGCTGCAAAGAGATACTTGATGATGGTTATCATCCTATTCTTGTCTCCTGTCTTTGTTTTCATGGTTTATCTCCTGCAGGAAATTAGGGTCCCTTCTTCAAGCCCAATTCCATCGGCACCTCCAGCGCTTTCCCAGCCGACTACGCTGGGGCGTGTAATTGACCGAGTGCCTTGGGTTTATTTAGGGGGTCGTCCCCCCTCCCTTTCCCCAGGCTGCTGCCAATCCGCGGTGCCCATCCGTGCGGCCAGGGGCAGCAGGAGAAGCCCCCGCGGACTGCACCTGGTGCGGGTCAGACACTCACAGGGGGGCCGGAGAGCGAGCGCCCCCGGTCGGAGGCGGCTCTCCCGGGGGCGGGCGCAGGGGGGGCTCAGGTGGGTGGGCACCGCCGCCCCGTTACAGGGTGACGCCAGCCGGCGGGGATATAAGGCCCCCGGGGGAGCTCCCCTCGCTCTGCTCCCCACCCGGCCAGCGCCTTATGAACCCGGCCAGCTTCTCCTACGTCCCGGCCATGTGCACCCCGCCCGGCTCGCCGGAGCCCGGGAGCCCGCCGCAGCAGCCCCCGCCGCCCGCCCCGGAGGAGCCGGCCGCCGCGGGCGGCGGGCGGCGGCGCAAGCGGCCGGTGCCGCGGGGCAAGCCGCCCTACAGCTACATCGCCCTGATCGCCATGGCCATCGCCCACGCGGCCGAGCGGCGGCTGACGCTGGGCGGCATCTACCGCTTCATCACCGAGCGCTTCCCCTTCTACCGCGAGAACCCCAAGAAGTGGCAGAACAGCATCCGCCACAACCTCACCCTGAACGACTGCTTCGTCAAGGTGCCCCGCGAGCCGGGCCACCCGGGCAAGGGCAACTACTGGGCGCTGGACCCGGCGGCCGAGGACATGTTCGACAACGGCAGCTTCCTCCGCCGCAGGAAGCGCTTCAAGCGCGCCGAGCTCGCCACCTACCCGGCCTACTCCGCCTTCAGCCCCGCCGCGCCCTACGCGCCCGCCGGCTACAGCCCGCCGCTGCCCGCCGGCGCCCCCTACCCGCGGGGCTTCACCATCGACAGCCTCATGGGCGGCGCCGAGCTGGGGCTGAGCCCCGCCGCCGAGCTGGGCGGCTGCCCCGAGCCCGCCTGCTTCCCGCCCGCCAGCCCGCTGGGCCGCGCCTACCCCTACTCCGCCTCGCCGCCGCCGCCCCACCTGCCCGGGCCCCCGAGCGGCTACTCCCCCCCCGGCAGCGCCCCGCTCTACGGCGCCGCCGGCCGCCTGGGCCTGCCGCCCGTGCGCGCCGCCGCCTCCTGCGCCGAGCACCCCCGAGCCGCTCCTGGCGCTGGCCGGGCCGCAGTTCGGCCCCAATCCCGCCTACATGCGGCAGCCCGGCTTCGCTTCGGGACTCGAACGGTACATGTGACTCCGGCGCTGCTCTTCCCGGTGCCACTGGCGGTAGGAGCAGGGCCCATGTACCACCCTTTTCCATGTTGATGGGACACACGCTGTACGTGAATGCATCTGCTTCTTTACTGTACATATGTAGATTATTTCATCCTAACACTGTACGCGCTGCGTAATGCGTTGTGCTGCATGGCACATGTCACTGAGTGTGAAACACGTTGTGTGTTGCATTGCACATGTGCTATAAAACAGGTCGTGTATTGCATATGCATTGTACTGTCTGTCTCCTGTGTGCATTGATTGCCTAACACATTGTAGTGCACTGTATAATGCATTGTGGTGCATTGCACAAGCGCTGTATATGCAATGCGTTGCAATGCTCTGTAGTGCATTTACAGTGCTCTAGCACGTGTTATGCACGATTCATTGCATTGGAGTGCCTTGTGTGTGAATTATGATTCACTGGATAATGCATTTAGTAGTGCCCTGTGTAAACCATTGTGTAAGGCTTTGTTACCTTGTAGATTTGTAAACATTCCAGGATGTCCCATTTCCCCCCCTCTCTTTGTTGGATTCATAACCTGGAACCAGACAGTTAGCAAAACTACTAGGTATGGGATTTTTTTATTACTATTTAAGACTTTACCTTTTTTCTTCCTCTGTGGGAAAAAACATCTTTTTACTATTTTTTAAAAAAAATAACTTTTATTGTTAGAAAGGATTTTAAAAAATAAATCTTTCCTTTCAACTGTTTAATACTGCTCTTTTTTTAGAAATGGTTTTGAGGGGGTTTTAAAAAGAGACTACATCAGAACTCAGCTGATTCATATGAGATTCATAACATTGTTTTAATTATGCCAAGTGGCTTGTGCTTTCATTTTTTACTGACACTTTTTCAGAGCTATACTCACTGTTTCAAATCTGAAGTCTGTTTTTAAATACTGGTGGTAACTAGCCGTTGTACAGCTTCCTAAAGGAAGCCTCCTAAAGCCATTCCGACAGTGGCCAATGCCAGGTGCTTCAGAGGGAACGAACAGAATAGATAAACATCAAGTGATCCATCCCCTGTCCCCGTTCCCAGCTTCTGCAAACAAAGGCTAGGGACACCATCCCTGCCCATCTTGGCTAATAACCATGGATGGACCTATCCTTCATGAACTTATCTAGTTCTTATTTGAAGCCTGTTATAGTCCATCCCCTGGAATCTTGAAATTGAGATTGGATTCCTTTCTGTAAGGTGTCCTCTATTTATCTACAATTGGATAGTTTTCACTTATGTAGTAGTGAGAATAATTCTGGCCACTGCAGGAGTCCTTGCAGGTGAAATTGTATGGCCTATGTTATACAGGAGGATAGACTCACTAGATGATCACAATGGTCCCCTTTGGCCTTAAATGTTGAATCTGCACACTGGCTGGTCCTTTGCCCTTTATTTATAGGGCTGTATCCTGGCATGGATTTTTGAGGCGAATTCCCCACTGATATTCTCCATGTTTTTTACCCTAAATTTCCTACATGTAAATGTGCAAGCATGGGATTTTTCTCCTCATTGTAAAAAAACAGGATTTATCTGCTACTCTGATTTACAGGAGCATTTGCATTGGAGCTGATTCGGTGAGTTGGTGTTCTGGGATGGGGCTCTCGACTCATTTGAATTCCCTGCCTAAGGGAGTTAGATGCCCAAATTCCAACTGACTTTCAATGGAAATTTGTGCACCTAATTCCCTTAGGCCCTTTTTGAAAATCCCATTCCTTATCTTTAGTTTAACCCTGTACAAACCTGTACTTGCCTGGATACACCAGTGTTTTAATGAATGATTATCTGTGAGGGTCTCTCTTCTGGGGTGTTTGATTAGCATGTTCTGCATGCCATTTAGAAATTAACATTCATGCAACCCAGTCCACCTTCAGGTAGGCGCACCTGGCAATTTAGGAACCTGATCACAAGGGTTAGGTGGCTTTATCTGGCCTGTGTAGGTCAGGCTATCAGATTATCTGTTATCTCTCATCACTAGTCCCTCCTCACTCAGATTCACCTCTTCAGACTCTTAGGGATTTATACTGCTGCTCATCATCATAGTATCTATGTGTCTTCTGCATAAAATCAATTAACAGTAGCCAAATCTATAGGGGAGTTGGTGGAACAGAACTACTTTCTAATTCTTGGATCATACTTACCTCTTTTTTTTTTACTGATTGGGAGATAAAAACAAAACCCGGAAAGGTATTTAGACTATTTGTAAAATAAATCCATAAAGCTAACCACAGGAAGATATTTTATACCCAACAGAAGTTTGAAAAGGTTCAGTCTCATGTAAACAGTATTATCTGCGTCGCATTCCAAAGTTTATTTTTCTGTTTTTTTAAAATATTTGAATGGAATAGAGAAAGGTAAAATGATCTTTCAGAAGAAAAATAATTATACAGGACTCTTGTAAATATGGCACTGTGGGATGTAGGACCTGAGCCTGCAATCTTTGTTTAGGCAAAACTGCTTTGAAGTCTGTGGAAGTTTTGCCTTAGTAAGCCGTGGGGGATCAGAGCCGTACACTTTCCTGATTCTTTAGCAATTATAGAGCCTACCTGCTTCCATTTGAAGTGAATGGGACTTTAATGGGAACAGGATCGGGACCTTCTGAAGTTGTGGAAATGAAAGGTGGGTTTGCATGGCAGATGGAAGCATTTCTTGGAGGATTAGATAAAAAGGACCTGGCTTGAAAAAAAAGAAGGTATGGTGGAGGGATGGGGTCAGTACACATATATACAGCTCTCTGGGAACAATTTGATGAAACTCTGAACCAGACATGTTCCTCACTGTTATGCTAGCCCAGGGGTCGGCAGCCTTTCAGAAGTGGTGTGCCGAGTCTTCATTTATTCACTCAAATTTAAGGTTTCGCGTGCCCCTAATACATTTAAACGTTTTTAGAAGGTCTCTTTCTGTAAGTCTATGATATAAAACTAAACTGTTGTTGTATGTAAAGTAAAGAAGGTTTTAAAAATGTTTAAGAAGCTTAATTTAAAATTAAAATGCAGAGCCCCCCGGACCGGTGGCCAGGACCCGGACAGTGTGAATGCTACTGAAAATCAGTGCCATAGGTTGCCTACCCCGTACTAGCCTGAAGTGGTGCTATCCGAATCAAGGGTTAATCTGTGAGACTTCTGCACAGGGAGCCAAGTGGCAAATGCTGCCCTAGGTGGGAAGTGATGGAGAAAGGGCGGATGATAAGTCGATTCATTTCCAGTCACCCAGAAGCAGCAGGAAGGAAGCTTGCAGGAGTCGTTTGCTGGGGTCTGCGGGGAAACTTCTGAAAGGGCTATTCAAGTTCTTTGCAGCTTTGGATTTCAGCTCAAGTGCCTTTGGAGCCAGCTGGGCTCAGGGTGTCTGAGGGGCTGAGCTATCGCGCGCTCCTATCTTTCAGCTGTCTCCTTCCTCACACCATTGAAGTTGCATTTGGGGACACTTAACTTTTAAAAAATCAAACTGGGATCCACGCTGGAGTTTGCAATAGGCCTGTTCCACCCCTGCACATGTACAAGCCGTGATATTTGATTCCCTTAACAGGATACACTTACCGAAGGCTTAGCAGGAGTCTTTCCAGGCACAGAAATCTAGCCGCGGGCTTTCCATCAGACCAATACGCATCAGAGCTGATTGAATTCCAGAAAATGTGGCTTGTGGAATCAGCAGCTGACTGAGAAAACAAACCAGAGAAATTTGTCCGATAATAAAGCCAACATGTAGTATTCAACCACCTCTCTTAATAATATTCTGTTCTGGAGATTCAAACCTCCCCATAGCCAACTGTAGTCAGTGGAAAGATTCTCCACTGATGTCAAATGTCTCGGTCCTTATATTTAGGATCAGTCCTTATATTTACAAATAAAATGAAAATCAAAATGGGGGAAGCTCTTTTTTTATATTATTATTATTCTTAACCCTAGGGTGGGGGAGACTGTAGCCACTTGTATTTTGATGGTTGTTAAACTAATGTGTTCAGAGTATTTTCTTGATTAAGTTAATGTATCACCACTAGGCTTTTAAGCTTTCATTTCAAAGCCTTGTTTACAGTTCGGATGAATCTAGCAAATGAGTTGGATTAAAATGTCATGTAGGGCGTAAGCCTTCCAGGGCCATGGTGGATTTAAGCTTTGCAGAGTTTACATGTGGCCCACTAGCCCTCATTTGCTTTACTGGCTTATTTTTAATGCTCCTCTGTATGACTTCAATGAAACAGGAGCAATTATCACCGGTTGTGAAACCAAGTCTCCGATAAAATCCTCCCCTCTTTAGTTAGCACTATCCACGGAATTCGGGCTATCTTAAGTAATGACACTCCTAAATCATCTGATCTTGCTGCCGTCGAAGTAATTGGCAAAACCCCTCATTGATTTCAGTGGGAGCGGGACGGAAGAATGAAAAATGCAGAGACTCCTGGGACCACTGAAAGTAGCCAGGGGCCAGATTTGTAAAGATATTTAAGCACCTGACATCCTTAAATTCAGTGGGAGTTAGGTGCCTAAATGCCTTTGAGGCTATAGGCATTAGTGGGATTTTTCAAAAGGTCCCAATTGAAATTGATGGGCGTTAGGTGCCTAGATTACTTTTGAAAATCACACTAGACACCTGAATACCTTTAAAAATCTGTCCCTAAGACAAGAGGCATTGTAAAGTTCTTTTAGTATTGTATTGAATACAGGATCTGATCCTGCTCCCACTGGAGTCAATGAGAATTTTGCCACTTGAAATCAGAGCAGAAGCAAGTCTTAAATGTTTGACCTTCGTTTCAAAAGTGACTAGTGATTTGGGGGTGACCCTGTCTGGGGGGGGGGGTACCCAGCTTGAGACACCTTAAAGCAGTCGAAACATATAATTGGAAATCTTGAGTGGCTTATATTTCTAGCCTGCAAATGGTGTTTTCAAAGGGTGAGGCAGTTGTCTTCATAATACCTTTTGCACCTGGGAATAGTCTATTTCTAACTAATAAAAAAGGGGGAAGGTTTGAAAAAGTCCCTCCTGGCACTGTGTGAAGTACAATAAAAATATATTGCCTAGAGGATTTCTGTGGATCACCCTAGAAATGTTAGGCCTTGTGTATATATGAAAGTTGCACTGATTTTAACTAAAATGATAAATTCATTTAGTTAAATCCTTGCAATTTTATGCATAGGCAAGGCCTGACACTGAGATCGTTCTTATCTTTGCTCAGTAAACCTGATGATTTGTCTTTAAAAAAATGCATCACTTTTGTTCATCGTGAGAAAGAAACTAAGCTAAATATTCTAGGTCTGCTAATGGAACTCAAATAATAGAGGGGCTGGCATGTGAGTGAAGGTGGGTTTATAAATGTGTAACTAATCTGAAACCGAATCAGTAGGTGAGCGGGCTCAGTGGATAAAGCCTGGACTAGGAACAAACAGGAAATCTGGGTTCTCTTCTTGGTTCTGCTACAGGTGGGACCTTACTTAACCTCTGTGCCTCTGTTTCCCCTCCCACCCTTTTGTCTGTTGTATCTGTTTAGATTGGACGCGCTCTGGGCAGGGGTTTATCACTCACTATGTGTTTGTGTAGGTCCTGGTGTAAGTTGGGACCTCCTCTAGGCATTAATGTACACCTCTACCCTGATATAACGCTGTCCTCGGGAGCCAAAAAATCTTACCACATTATAGGTGAAACTGCATTATATCGAACTTGCTTTGATCCTCCCGAGTGCGCAGCTTTCCCCCTCCCCCCCCCGAGCACTGCTTTACCGCCTTATATCCAAATTCGTGTTATATCAGGTCGCGTTATATCGGGGTAGAGGTGTAATTACAGTGTGTGTGTTTTCACTCCCCAGACCTGAATGTATGTCAGCTACCGATATAGCCATTGTGTGGTTGTTATAGTAAATCAGTTTCTGCATTTGATAAAAGTAGTTTAGATTCTATATGGTTTTGCTTTCACTGGAAATGTATCTACTTTATCCCTTGGACTGTGAGTTTATGTCTTGCCATTGAAACCTAGATCCAGGAAAACTGTCAGGTACAATATTAACCCAGGCACATTTTAACCCTGATTGCCCCACCCACCAAAGTCTACAGCAGAGGTTCTCAAACTGGGGGTCGGGACCCCTCAGGGGGTCGTGAGGTTATTACATGGAGGGTCGCGAGCTGTCAGCCTCCACCCCAAACCCTGCTTTGCCTCCAGCATTTATAATGGTGTTAAATATATAAAAAAGTGGTTTTGATGTATAAGGGGGGGTTGCACTCAGAGACTTGCTGTGTGTTACCAGTACAAAAGTCTGAGAACCCCTGGTCTAGAGTATCTTTAGGTTGCTAATGACCATGTTAACTGATGAATCAAAGGTTATTGGCTACCTTGTGGGGACATTGAGACAGCTGAAGGCAACAGCGACCCCTAGTGGCAAATACAGGAATGGCATGGTTGTCCTAACTTCTGCTAAAACAACAAGGAGTCTGGTGGCACCTTAAAGACTAACAGATTTATTTGGGCATAAGCTTTCGTGAGTTAAAACCTCACTTCTTCGGATGCAAAACTAACTTCTGCTGTGAAGTATGGGGAATTGTATTGTAGCCAGAGCAATAGTATTCATGTCTCTGTTGTTCAGCTAACAATCAGATGCTTCACTGTGTCATGTCACTGTGTAGAACCATGGAGACACTACAGATGTAATACATATGCCCCAATCAGGTTCATTTGTGGTTACATCAAGATCTGAACCACTGCCTGAAAAGAGAGAGAGTGCCATGAATAGATGAGGACAAGGCTAATGTAAATGCAATGTCAATTTAATAATAGCCAATACACTTGTCTTTATAACTGTGGAGCATAGATTAATTAGGGGGCTGTCTTCTATCAGCTGATGATAGATGTTGCTGTGCAACAGATGTGGCACTTCACAGGATGAAGGTCTGATACGCACTATTTAAACTGCGTTTGTAACCTAACTAGAACACTACACAACACAGCAAGGACCCCAGGGTGCGACGCTCACAGCAGTGTTCACAAAAGTTCCCTGGCTCCTAAAACGCACTGACAGGTATAAGCATGTGTCCAACATTTTCAAATCTCAAGTTAATCACTTCAGTCCATAGAGGAACCTGAGCAATGGTCCTGTTTTCCAAAGTGCTTGAACACTTGCCTCTCCCTTTGACGTCAACACGAGCTGTGGGTGCATAACAGCTTTGAAAACCAGGCCCCCTATGCAGGTGAAA